TGGTCGCCTCCCGGGCAGGCGGGAATCGAACTCATGCGGAGGTGGCTTTAGCTTCTCAGTGTAGTGCTTTAACCCGCTGCGCCACCAGGGAGGGCCCAGCACTTACATATTTTAAGCAAGGTCAAGGATGAATGTTATATCTGGGTTTCGGAAATATCACACAGTGACGGTGTAGGAATATGTTAGATGTATCTTAAGGGCTTAAAGATAAAGATAGCTAAGTCTAGATTTACTGTAGCTATCCAGAGGAGAGAGTTGGTAGCTTGAAATGTGGTGGTAGCAAGAAAGATGGATGGAGGGATTTGAAACATATTTAAGATCATCTTTTCAAGACTTGGTGAAGGTAAGGGAGGAAAGGTTGTAAGGATGGTTTCTCTCTGTTCTAGATTTATGCAACAGATGTGTCCTTCATTTAGAAAGGGAACTGGTGGAGAAACAGGTTTTTCTGGGAGGAAGTTCTATGCTTGCAAATTCCGTTTTGGAGACACTGATTTGGAATATATAAAATCCATGAAGATATTTGTTCACTATCATATAGTCAGTGCCATGCAGTGCCTACTACACAGTAGGTGCACTCCTTATGAAAGCACAGATTTATATACCACTGGAGTAAGAGACTTAGAGCCTTTTCTGCATAGCATGGTTAATTACACTTGTCAACCTGGTTAGGCTGTGGTGCTGGGTTGTTTGACCAAATACTACCCTAGTTGTTGTAAAGGTAATTTGCAACATATTAACATATATACAGTTTAAGTAAAGAAGATTTTCTCTGATCATATGAGTGGGCTGTGTTTATTCAGTTGAAGGCTTTAAGGACAAAAAATCCAAGATTTTCTGTAAAAGATGGAATTCTGACTTAAATCAACACAGAAGCTCTGCCTATGTACCCAGCCTGTTGGTCTGCCCTACATGTTGCAAACTTACTAGGCCCCACAATCATGTAAACCAATTTCTTAAATAAATTTCTTTCTTTTTACTTGTAATACACACACACACACACTATTGACTTTTCTCTAAAAAAAACAATAATATAGGATAAAATGGAAAGCAAAGCAATATGGGATTGAAAGATTAAGGTTTTAATCTTTGCTATTAAATATCTGCTGTGGGACAGCGGGCATTTCCATGAATTTTTTGAGGCCTATTTTCTTTCTTTTTTTTTAAAAAAGATTTATTTATTTACGCTTACAGAACTGGGGTACAGGTCAGAGGTGTGTGTGTGGCGTGAGAGGATTTACCAGAGATAGAGTGGGGAGCAAAACAGGCAGATCAACTGAAATACACTGCTGAAGGGAGCAGCGAGCGAGACAGGAGAGGTCTGCCATACCAGGTGGGTCAGCGCCCTGGCCGAGGATTGAACTTGTGCTGCAGTGGCTTTGAAGAGCTTCACAGTGCTGTGCTTTAACCCTCTGGACCACCAGGGAGAGCCCAAGGCCTATTTTCTTGTTGGACTCAATAATATTATTTAAATGATGCTATGTGTGTAGGAGCCCTGCAATCTGCAAAATATGATGACACTCTTGGTTTAAGAATACTGCAAGTCTAAATTCCGGACAAAACTGTTTTCAGGATTAATAAAACCAAACCTCCCTGAATCATTATGATGACAAATATGTCATCATTGTTCATTGTTGAACATGTACTCATTATAGCAAAAACAAGCAAAACATTTAGTAATGCTTTACTTTTACCTCTGACAATAGATTCAATTTCTTTCGTGGCAGCTTCGCTGTGATTTTCTGCAAGTTTTTCATTAATTTCCATTATTTCCATGAGGAACTGACTGTCCATTTCATAATCTGTCCCTTCAGGAATCTCTACTCCACAGAGCTTTAGCTATTGGGCAAAAAGCAGGGAAAATAAGTTTGACTCAAGAAACCATGTCAAGAGTAATGTAAATCCTATTCAACCTTTAAAACAGAATACCACTTATAAAGAAAAACTGACGTGTCCTAACAATGAAAGTGTGAAATTTAGAGGACTAAAACTTTAGAGGGCTGAGAGTGCTAGGAAGGAATTCTCTACTATTGGGAACTCCAAGATCCTGGGTGGTCATTCCTTTACTTGGGGGTACAAGTGAATGCACATTAAGATGATTATTCAATGCTGTAACTGAGGTGCTTACCTTACCTCATTTCCTCTTTGGAAAAAAACAAAACACAACACAACAAAAATTATCCATCACCATCCCATGTTTGAAATTTACAGATGGTAAAAAAATGCAATCAGACAAGTAAGATTTATATGAGAATACTCAGAGAAACTATATATTGTGTAATATCTTTAAGGCTAATATGGTTGAGGCCTTGGGCTTGCACAGGTCCTAAGCACTCTTTTGCTAACACAGGGGAGCAGCTAGACTACACCATACTGGACACCATACAGTCATACATAGACTGGTTGGGAAATCACCTTACAAGATATAGTCCCCTGCTTAGGGGGGCCAGAAGAGTCTTATAGGCATCATTCACCAGGGTCGAGTGCTTCTTTGAGAAGTCCTTTTCAGTCTGTTAGTGGAGATGAAGATTTTCATATTACTATTCAAATCAATTATCTTATATTCATAAACTGTTTCATAAATTATTTATGGGTAGTTACCTAAAATGTGGCCAAAATAGAGCTGATATGGGATGAGTTATCTTTATTTTCAACAAATGGGTTCTAATTATGCTGGTAAGTCAGGTAAAAGCTGTGCGTGCAGGACAGGTCTAGTGCTTGGTTGTCAGGGATCAGACTGCCTTGGTGACAGGTTACAGCTGGTTGTCCAGCTCTACCCCTCATAACCACAAGGCCACAGCCACCCACCCAGTGCACACATATAGGTGGCCAACAGACTACCTGAGACCTCTGGCTGAAGAAATCTGGGTGGACAAGACGCTGTAGTTGCTGGTACCTGTGCTGGAGCTTTGTAGTGTCAACTCTGAAGGAACGTTTGCTGGAAGGAAATTGGGAGAAGAAATTCATGCATCAAATATTTACATATTTGTACACTACATGTTTGACTCCTGTTCTCAAAAGAAACAATAAACAAGAATTCACAAATTTGTAGGCACAAAATTTCCAAGAGTGATAAGTGCTGTGATGGAAAACTGAACAAAGAGTGGTGGGCAAAGAGATCACATTTCAGCTGATGTCAGTGATGATAAAGATAAGTAATCAAGATCTGAACTGTCATCCAAGCAGAGAAAACATGCAAAGACCCTGAGATGGGAACAAGACTGGCTTCTTAAAGAACTTCAGGGGTCAGTTACTGTAGCCTGTCAAAAGTGTCCAGTGACTGGCAGACCCCAGGATTATGGAGAAGTGGCATCCCCAAATTACACCCCATATTTCTAAGGACCAGGCCCTTTCATACTTGTTTTCCACTTTTAATCCAATTCCTTTTACTTTCTATTCCCGGAGCTTACCGCCTCCTAACAGTTCATCTTTGCCTAACTTCACCTCTGAGTCCCTCAACCCTTTGAAAAAAACAGGAAAAAAATCCATTTCTCAGGATCCTTTCTCCATTTTCCCTTTAGATTCCGTCCACAGTATTGCGTTTTTCCAGAACTTTTACTCTTTTATGTGGGATCACACCTCATGACTTCTGAAAAGTCTCAGCCCAAGTTTTTCGTACTCTAAGCGGGTGGGGGTGGGGTCTTCTCAGGCTCCGCCTCGCACCTCTCCTCCTTAGAAGCGCCAACCTCCAATTTAACTTAATTCCTTTCCCCACTCCGGTTCTCCCATACACTCTACTCAAGTTCTCACCCCCAGGTCCGGCCTCCCAGCGTCCTCTCTCGGGACACCCCCACCCTCCACCCTCCGTTTTCTAGCGCTCCGCCCACCCACCTTACCGGTCCCGCCTCCTCCTTCCAGATCGGCCCTCCTCTCTACCCCGCAGCACCCGACGACTCCCTCGCCCCCGTGCCCCTTACGAAACCACCGCCCGTACCAGTCCAAGAGGCTGAAGTAGTCTTGAGTCGGGTCAGGTGGCTGCAGGGCCCGGCAATGCGGGCAGAAGAGTCCGTCTTTCCTCACGGGGCCCGCCGGACTGCCGCAGTTCCAACACCCCGCAGAGTTGCTTCCCGCCGGCGACGCAGCGCTGCAGCTTAGCGGTCTCCTTCCGAGGGCTCCTGCTGGCCATAACCCCCATGCACGGAGCAGGGACCCGGCCCTCCCGACCCACATCTGGCGCTGGGCCTATTCTGGCGGAGGTCGCCGGTGGGGGCAACAGGGAGAAAGCGAACGACCCAACCAGTGCTGGTGATTGGCTGGGGAGCTGAGGGGGCGGGATCTCTGGGGGGAAAACGGGGATTCTGAGTTCCGCCCAGCGTTTTAAACTACAACTCCCAGCAAGCATTGAGAGCACGACTTCGACCACATCCGCTTCTTCTCATTGGTCCTGCATCAGCACAGAGGTGTTTTGATTGGTTGAGGGTGGAGTTTGTATCAGCTGGTTTAGCGCCACTCGGCTGGCTGTGGCCGAGTAGCGTGTGCGGCTCCCGGTGGGCTCACGCGGTGAGTCATAGTGGGGTGCTCCACTTCAGTGTTTGGGGGTTCGAATCCCACGCTCAGGCTTTTAATGCAGGCTGAATCTCCTGAGCTCCCGCCTTGCCCAGTTTTCGACCTGGTGTGTGTATGGGGTGGGGGTGGGGGTTGGGTTGGAAGAATGTGGGCGATTCTCTTCCTTCTTTGTAGGTTAACTTTGACGCTATTCACTTCCCCTGTTACTTACAAGCTGCAACTGGCCCAGACCTCCAGGATAGGAAGGAACAACGTTGTGCCCTCCAAAATCAGAGCAAAGTTGCTTATAAAGAATTTCATAAATATTAGTAATTAATATACTTTAAATCCAGCCTTTAAAATGTATACGGAGAATTCCACTCTTAGATGGTAGGTGCTTCAGGAATTGAAAACACTGACCCTCGTAGGATCAGAGGACACTTCATTTTTTAATGTTAATTTACTTATAACTGGGGTACAGGCCAGAGGTGCAGGGGCAGTTAGAGGATTCACTAGAGACAGTGGGGAGCAGAACGGGCAGATTGATGAAGTTCACTGCTGAGGGGAGCAGTGGGTGGGACAGGAGAGGTCTGCCTTGCCATATGGGTCACCTCCCAGGCACTTCTAGTTGAAGTGGCTGCCTGAAGCCACTGCAGCTCGCTTCACAGTGCAGTACTTTAATCCCATGTGCCACCAGGGAGGGCCCTGTTTTTTAAAAAGCAATTTAAAAAGATTTTATTTATGCATACAAGAACTGGGGTACAGGCCAGAGGTCCCGGATGTGAAAGGATTCACCAGAGACAGAGTGAGGAACAAAATAGGTAGGTTGACTGCAATACACTGTTGAGGGGAGCAGCAGGCCAGACAGGAGAGGTCTGCCTTGCACTGTGGGTCATCTCTGGGGGAAGATCAACTTGTGCTAGTGGGTGCTGATAACTTCACAGTGCTGTGCTTTAACCCCTGCGCCACCACGGATGTCCACTGGGTGGCCATTCTTTTCGAATTATGCTTTATTGGGGGAGGAGCATTCTTGCATCATCTCATTTAATTCTCAAGGTCCTTTTTTCAGATAAGGAAATGGATTCAGAGAGGTCATGATCTATATAAAAATTCATGCAAAGATTTGATTCAGGCATTTGACTCCAGTCCTGTTTGCCTCTAACCACTCCATTCCCAGTGGCAGAGGCCAGGATCTTGTTTATGTTAATATTGATAGCAACTAACGCTTGACACTGTCTTTTTTCAGTTTTTGGTGTGAAAAAGTCTTGGTTAAAAATCTGCAGAAGGATACAGCCTGGCTGAGATAACATTAGAGCTGCAGACTTCGGAGTGGCAAACTCAACTTTAGCATCACCTTCTTGGTGCACACTAACGAAAACTCAACAGGACCTTTGTATGTGGAAAACTGTGTGAATGCTGCCAGTGTGAGTTGTGTTTTACTGTGTTCTGGAAGAGTAGCCTGAATATGTGGATCAGGAGAAGAGGCACTTAAAAAAAAAAAAAAAACAGATTAGGATTCAAAGTTATTTTATTGTAGGTTCAGTTATTATTGGAGTTTAGCTATCCATCATGTTAATGCTAAAACAAGGATTATAACCTCTTTACTGGTCTCCTGTAATTCAAAAAATGTTTCCGGTAGGATTCTTCTGCTTGAAGGCCACGTAAGATCCTGAGAAGATGAGCCCCATAGTTAGTTAGCATTACAAAGCACTAGGCAGAGTTGCTGAAAGCAACTTTGTGTTCTACTTCCTTAAGTGGCTAAGTCCTTACTGGTCAAGGACTACAAAGAGCTAACAGCATGGTCCTTACCTTCCATTAGCTAGCTGTCCTAGGAGGGACATCAGAGACATTTTATGTAAGTGGCCACCCCTGATGTGGTGCTTGGAGTTACTGTACAGTTTCTCTTTGCCCATCTTCTGCTCCAAGCCACCTAACCCTCCCTCACCCCCTAGCCAAACCTTAAGTGAGATTTAAGTATAGTGTGAATTGTATTAATGAATACATTTTACTTTTAATTTTTAGAGATTAGGTGAATATAAGCAATTATGAATCTGCCTCCACCCTAATTCCTTTTTTTTTTTTGCTTTTTACTTAATTATAGCCATCAGATAATTTTTTTGGTTTTTTTCCTCTGTGAGTTATGGCTGTCAGACAAAAATAAAACACCACAAAAACAGTTCTGTGGAAAGTGGATTTATGAAAGATTCTGTCTAGAAGATATAAGGTCTAGAATTTTAGAATATTAGGGTGTCAATTTTTGCATAACATGCTGACCATGGGTTTTTTCCCCATCACACATGCCCATTCTTCACTCTTGATCTTTAAGTCTTGTTCTGGAAACTCATTTTATCTTTGGACACTTCTTTTTGAGGTGGTGATGTCTCGGGAGACAGAAGTGGAGAGTCAGCAGCCCCACAGCAGCGGTGCCTGCGTCCAGCCCCATGGCCCTTCCTCACAGACACACAGCTCCTCACAATCCCAGGGCACGTCCAGTTCCTCCACCAGCACAGTGCCCACATCTAGTCAGTCTTCTCACTCCAGCTCAGGGACACTGAGCTCCTTAGACACAGTGTCCACTCAAGAACTCGCCTCTATCCCTGAGGACCAAGAGCCAGAGGAGCCCCTCCCTGCCCCTTGGGCTCGATTATGGGCCCTTCAGGATGGATTCACTAATCTTGGTAAGACCCTTTGCTATGTAGTTTAGTTTAGTTTTGTTCAGAAAAACAGTTCCAGAAAGTTTTCACAGCAAAAGCTCAACACACTCTTGGAATGATTTGTGGAGTTTGAAGGCAGTGAAAGCTAAAACCAAGGAAGTGCATTGGCTTTTCCCTGCTTATGGACTTTCTTCATTTATTTTTGAAGATTTATTTATTATGCATACAAGAATTGGGGTACAAGCCAGAGGTGTGTGTGTGGGGTAGAGGATTTTCACTAGAGACAGAGTGGGGAGCAGAACAGGCAGATCTACTGAAATACACTGCTGAAGGGAGCAGCAAGGGAGACAGGAGAGGTCTGCCACACCATGAGGCTCACCTCCCTGGCCAGGGATTGAACTCACTCTGAAGCAGCTACAGACAGATAGCTTCATAGTGCTGTGATTTATATGACTTAGATGACTTAACTCCTTGCGCCCCCAGGGAGACTTTCCCTTCATTTATCCTTTCACAAGATACTCATTAGTTTTCTGCAGTGTTATCCATCTGAGCATCTGAAGGGAGCAGTGGCTCTCCCCCTTGGAAAGTGCAAATTCATGCAAACTTGCAGACACTTGTCATGTAATCAGAAACTTCACCACTTAAGCTGTGGTCTGCCAGCTCCAGAGCCTCAACTTTACATTTCATAATAGTAGTAAAGACAGATCAAGTGGAATACACTGCTGAGGGGAGCAGCAGGTAGACTGGAGAGATCAGCTGTACCATGCACCATGTGGGTCTTTGGCTGGGGATGGAACTCAGGCTGCAGTGGCAGCAGATAGCTTTATTGTGTTGAGACTTAATGCCTTGCACCACCAGGGAGGCCCAAAACATTATTGTTGATTATTGTTATTATTGGTTATTGATTTATGCCTATGCTTTCTTTTAAATATTTTGTAATTTTAGCCCTTACCTTTACCTATTTTTGAGTTGATTTTTATATATGGTATGAAGTAGGGATTCAAATTTGTCCTTTTGCATGTGCAATTCCAGCACTAATTTTCGTGTTATTTTCTTTTTTAAAGTTACAAATCACTGATTTTTATTTTTACTCTTAAAATTTACTTCATTTATTAAAAAAATATTCCTTTGGGTCCTCCCTGGTAGTGCAACAGATTAAAGCCCAGCTCTGCAAAGCTACCTGCAGCCATTTCAGTGTGAGTTCAGTCCCCAGCCAGGAGTGCAAGGTTGGGGGCGTGGGGGCGTTTGGAGGATGGTGATGGTGGTGGTGATGGTGGTGACCCACATGGCACAGACCTCTCCTGTCACGCCCACTGCTCCCCTCAGCAGTGTACATTGTAAATCTTCCTGTTATGATCCCCAGTCTGTCTCCGATGAATCTTCTCACTGCCCCTGTACCTCTGGCCTGTACTCCAGTTCTGTATATATAAATAAATAAATCTTTTTAAAAAATTCATTTTGTTTCATTTCAAGTACTCTTTCTTGAAGAAACTATTGTTTCACCATTTTTCACCATTCTTGTCAAAAATCTTGACTATGAATGTGAGAGTTTATTTTTAGACATTCAGTTCTATTCTACTAATCTGTTTCTATCCTTATGACAATACTGCAAAAAACTTAGTGACTATAGCTTTATAATGTTTTAAAATCCAGAGGATGAGGTGTAGTTTCTGATTTGCTTTTCTTTTTCAAGATTATTTTGACTTTTCTGGGTTCCTTACATTTCCATATGAATTTTAGGATAAGTTTGTCACTTCCTGCAAATAAGACAGCTGGGTTTTAATGGGGATTACATCGAATTTGTAAACCAGTTTGGGGAGTACTTAATAATACCAAGTCTTCCAATCTGTGAACAATGGGATTTCTTTCCATTTATTATGTCTTTAGTTTTTATCAGTGATATTTTATAGTTTTTTAAAAATACTATTATTTATTCGTACAAGAACTGGCTAGAGGTGAGGGTGGGTGGGGTTAAGTATTCACCAGAGACAGAGTGAGGAGCAAAACAGGTAGCCTGACTGAAATACATTGCTGAGGGGAGCAGTAGGTGAGAAAGGAGAGGTCTGCTGTGCCTTGTGGGTCACCTCCCTGGCCGGGGATCAAATTCATGGTGTAGTGGCTGCGGATAGCTTCATAGTGCTGTACTTTAACTCCTTTATCCACCAAGGAGGGCCTTCCTAAGTATGTTGTTTTTTTTTTTAAGATTTATTTATTTATACATACAGAACTGGGGTACAGGCCAGAGGTGCCGAGATGGTGAGAATATCACTAGAGACAGACTGGGGAACAGAACAGGCAGACCAATGAAGTACACTGTTGAGGGGAGCAGCGGGCAGGTCAGGAGAGGTCTGCCATGCCATATGGATCACCTCTGGGACCGCGGATTGAACTTGCATTGAGGTGGCTGCAGCTCACTTGCAGTGCTGTGTCCTTACCTGTTGTGCCACCAGGGAGGGCCCACCTAAGTATTTTTTTTTTTTTTTTAAAGATTTATTCACCTGTGCATACAGAACTGGGGTACCGGCCAGAGGCTCAGGGGCGGTGAGAGGCTTTACCAGAGACAGACTGGGGAGCAGAACAGGCAGATCGACGAAGTACACTGCTGAGGGGAGCAGCGGGCGGGCCAGGAGAGGTCTGCCACGCCATGTGGTCACCTCCGGGGCAGGAGGCAGGTGGGAATCGAACTCATGCGGAAGTGGCTCCAGACTCTCAGTGCTGTGCTTTAACCCGCTGCGCCACCAGGGAGGGCCCCACCTAAGTATTTTTTAATGTTAAAATATGTCTGACAAAAATTTTGCCAGTTGCCATTCAGTAAACAATTTAGTAGTACTGAGTACATTTCCAGTATTATACTACCATGGTGATTAATCTATAAAGTGTTTTCCTCTGCTAATTTCTAATTCCTTCATCCCCAGATTTTTTGAGATAAAATTGATAATGTAGCATCATATACCTTTAAGGTGTGCAACATTTTGAATTGATACACTTACATAATGCAAGGTGATTATCATCATACTACTAATTATGTGATGAGAACATTGAAGATCTTTCTTAGCAACTTTGAAGTATATAGCATTGTTAACTATAATCACCATGCTCCATGCTGTACATTAGATTCCTAAACTTACTCATCTTTTAGCCAGAAACATGTACCCTTTGACTAGCATTTCACAACATCTCCTTTCCTAAGGCCCTCGTTACCAAACATCCTATTTGTTTCTATTCAGCTTTTTCAGATTCCACTTTTGAGATCATACAGCATTTGCCTTTTTGTCTGGTTTTTTTCATTGTGTGTGGTGCCCTCAGGATGTCAGGATTTCCTTTTCTTTACTGTGTAATATTCCATTGTGTGTGTCAATGGAATATTATATGTGCATATATATATATATATATATACACACACACATACACACATCTTTTTCATTCATCCATTGGTGGACACAGTTATTTCTATGTCGTGGCTATTATGAATAGTGCTGCAGTGAACTAGAAGTGCATCTATTTCCTCAAGATCCTGTTTCTATTTCCTTTGAATAGAGACCCAAAATTGGGATTGCTGGATTTTATGGCAGTTATACTTTAATTTTCTGAGGAATCTCTGTGCTGTTTCCCTAGTGGCGAAACAGGTTACAATCCTACCATAAGTGCACAAGGATTCCTGATATTTCAACTCCACTTGTTATCTATCTTTTTGATCATAGATATCTAAGTAGGTATGAAGTTGGTCAAAGAACCAACTTTAGTCTTATTAATTTTCTTAATTGTTTTTATGTTCTCTATTTCATTGTACTCTAACTTTTATTTTCTTTCCTCTGTTTGCTTTAGATTTTATTTATTCTTTTTTTTAAGATTTATTTTATTTATATAGTACTAGGGTACAGGCCAGAGGTACAGGGGCAAAGAGGGGATTCACCAGAGACAGAGTGGGAAGCAGAACAGGCAGATCTACTGAAATACACTGCTGAAGGGAACAGCAAGCGAGACAGGAGAGGTCTGCCACACCTTGTGGGTCAGCTCCCTGGCTGGGGATCAAACTCATTGAAGCAGGTACAGTTAGTTTGGCATTGTTGGGCTTGAACCTGTTGTGTTTTAACCTGTTGCACCACCAGGGAGGGCACCTTTTCCAGTATCTTAATCAAAGTTAGGTTATTGACTTCAAATCTATCTCTTTTATAACTCAGACATTTATAGCTATAAATTTCCCTTAAGTAATATATATATA